CCCCAAAACCCCAAAACCCCAAAACCCCAAAACCCCAAAACCCCATATGGAATTTAACTAAATAATATTCCGAGTGCATATCTAGTTAAAATTTTAAATATTCCTAACGTTGGCGTTCAAAATTTGGTTAGTTCCCACTCCCCAGCTCTTAGAGCTTCAAAAAGTTTCGTATATAATTTTTAGTGATAATCAAACCCTGAGATTTATCCATGTTGGGCCTAGACGTTCAGCAACAAGAGATTGAACTTGATCTGGTTCATAATCTTTGAAGTATCAACACTAATCTTGCCAGCGTTGAGCTCATCCACTGATTTAAGGAATTCTACTTTGTTCTTTTCATTCATCCTCTGGGCATCTTTGCCATCTAGAATGATAATTTAGAAGGACTTACGAATCTTCAGCCAATTGTAATAACAGTTGTAGTTTGAATTATCGTTTAGCTCTGCTTTGTGAACATCTCTAATAGAGACAGCTTTAAGCTCAATGACCTGTCCCAATGCAACAATGTGCTTGATGTACTCACTAGTGATCCTGCTCTGGTCACATGCTAGGATGTCAATAAGCAAAACTTGGGTTAGATTGATCCTCTTGCTAGAGTGGCCAATGAAAATTGAGTAATTCTCCTTTGTCAATCCTGTGATTCCTATTCAAGTCATACTCGAAATTACCATAAAGATATTTGTAGCTTTCCTTGAGTCCAAAAAGACTGATCATAATATCTTCAATAAGGGCCTATAATTTTTAGTCAGGAACTTACCTCTCTTAGGAACTTGTTGTCAATGTTCTCATCAATGTAGTATCTGTAGGTAGCAATCAACTCGGTGAGGAGGTTGTGAAGGAAGAAGTGACTTGATGGAATCTTGTATTCAACATTTGATCCTTTACATACTGAGTATACACTCTCAATAATCTCAATTCCTTCCTCTTTATAGTTTCTGAGAATAGCAGTCACCACTCTGTTGATGAGGATTGTGATTAACTTCAGTCTGTAGCAAAGAGATGCTTGGTGAGTCTTCTGGTATCCTGGTAGCTCAGTTACTTCTGTGAGCTGGTTTGACAAAAGCAAAATTTTAAGAATCCAATCATAAGAGTGATCCCCAAATATTTTACCGAATGCTTTCTTATCCTCTGGGTCTTGAGTAATGCTCAAATGAATTGGTTTCTGATCTTCCGGAGTTTCAATAATCAAGTTTAGAATAATAGTCTCTGCCAAGTCTGGATGGTCAATTTTTACAAAGCATGTACTGAAAGTCTTCTTGCTACTTTCAGAAATATTACCCTTTTTGGTGACAGAATAAATCTTATGTGCCTTCATGTAGTCTTCTACTGTGCCTACATCAAATGTTCCTTTGCTGCTCATGAAAGCAACAACTTCGTCAATCAAATTTGGAGGTACTCCAGCGGATACTGCTATGTTTTTAGCGTGGAGAGTCATGTGTCCTTTTTGAATTCCTTCAACAGCTAAGGCTCTCATGGCTGCAAAATTTTGAGCAAGACCCACAGAGACAAGGATGCCTGCAATTTGTCTTCCAGTTGGCTGTCCAGCAACGAGATGTGTAGCATTATATGCAGGATTAGTACCTAAGACTCCTCCTTTACTAGCACAAGCTATTGGTAACTCAAGTTCTCCTAAAAGGAACTCTCTTCCGCTTGTATCTTTAGCAATTCTATATTTGGTTAGTGGCCTGTATCCACCATCTAAAGTGGCATAAGTATGAGCTGCTGCTTCAATACCTCTCCAATCTTGTCCCAAAGCAAGAGCAACTGCATCAACTCCATTCATGATACCCTTGTTATGAGTGGCAGTTCTCTTAATATCATGTACAGCAAATTCATATGCTCTGATAATTCCTTGAGCAACTTCTTTGCCATTGAGATCCTTCCATGCTAACTTATCAACAGGGATCTTGAAAAAGGAAGTTGCCATTCTTTCGACGCACAAATTGGTCGCAATTCTTAGCCCAATTTTCCCTTCTCCGATGATATTTCTAATAAATTCAGATCACCTCTCTGCTAATGTGTTACAAAGATTCATTCCCATTGATTCTTGGACATCGATGAGGAGCTCGACTACCATGACATCCCTGGATTCATCTTCTGTTTGGAGTTCATAAATTTTCTTTGTCCTGACTCCTCTGCATCCACCACCATAACTAACCATGACTCTGCAGTGAGAATTACAGAAATCTACAATCTTTTGTGAGTTCATGTCGACCAAGTATTTGGCACTACTATAGTTCACACCAATGAAAACGATCTGGGAGGCCATGACAGGGGCTGTAGTATGGACTTTGAATCCACCACCTCTCTCTGAAACGAATTTGGCCACTGAGCTAGCTGCTGCGATGACAGATGGTTCCTCAAGAGCCATTGGAACAACATATTCCTTCCCATTGATCAAGAAGTTTAATCCGAGTCCAAGAGGGAGCTCTATCTTTCCCACACAGTTCTCGACCATCATATCTGCTTGTGCTGGGGTAAGGCTTCCCTTCAAGAAGATGTCTCCATCCAGAGTGGGATAAAGTCTCTTTAACAAGTTTATTCTGTCTTTTATGGGTTTCTGATGAAATCCAGACCAGATAGAAGCCTTTTTATTGCTCACATTTCTCAACATGCTATCTGAATGTGTGGAGTTATCTCCTTCCTTAGTCTCTTCAACCAAATTTGGAGCCACATGTGCTCGAATGGTTTGTAATCTTTTGAGTGCTTTGGTGTATGACATTATGCTACTTAAAATTAATTTAACCCTCGCTTATCTGGGGTTTTGGGGTTTTGGGGTTTTGGGGTTTTGGGG